TATATATACTGTGAAAAAATATTTTTAATGTTTATGATTTATACTTTTATAGTTATTTATTTATATATATGCTATACATTTTGGGATTAGGCTGTCCAAATTGCACTGTATAATATGTTCTGAATTAATATGTTCTTGGGTTTTTTTGAAATATATATACATGTATTAATTCAACCTTAATCTGAGCTTCTAGACAAGAAAGAGGGTAAGCAGTTGAAATTTCATTCTAAAACCCATTTTTTTTGTCTTTTCATGGCTTATGATCTGTCAAATTTTATTGGTTTTGAGTGTTTATCTTAAAACTCAAGTTTTTTTGTTCTTTGCTCTTGGTGTAAATCAAACACATTTGTGGAGTCGTTTAAATATGATTGATTTTAAATATATTGGATTTTAAACTGTCATACAAATTTTTTCATCGATAGTTTGTAATTGGAACCATAACTCTTATTTATTCAAATTGTATTAATATGTAAAAATCAATTATAACTTATATCATCGTTAAATCTTGTCTTATAAAACCAGTGAAATTTCAAAATCGTTAAAATTCATGGCTCCCGCCGCATTGCGTGTACAAAACTAGTATATATATATATATATATATATATATATATGTATGTATGTATGTATGTATGTATGTGTGTGTGTGTATGGTGGTAGCTAGAAATTAATGGAGATTTGAAGCCAAACTAACCTTGACGGAGATAAGAAGTAGCAACAATGTTGGATGCGTCATGAAAGGCACGAGCTAAGCATGCCGAAAAAGAGAAATCACCTTCACCCACAAGTAAGATCTTCTGGGAACTCTTGTAACAATCGATCTTCCTCATCTCTTTCTCTCACACACACTGAAACACACAGTACTTGCGATATATTATATGCTTAGGTATATATATAACATATATGAACTTTAGAAACAATCGATAAACCATGAAACCTGGTAGCAGCGAGTAGAGCAATGGAGAATGGAGATGGTGTAGTCAGAGAAGTCAGGATTCAGGTGGCTCTGCTACTCAAATACGTACTACACCATCGATTGCCACTCTACTACCAAAATAAATTACGTTTTTAGTCCCTATCATTTGTTAAATTGCGGTTTTTGTCCTTTTGGTTTGTAATTCTTTTTCTTTTTTCGTCCTTGAGGTTAAACACCTACCCTTAAGCAAATATGGCCAAATGAGCCCGCTCCAAAGCATGGGAATGGGCCCGATCCGCCAGAGAAAGATGTTTTCATTTTTTTTTTTTGTACATACTTCCACCCGTCCCGGTCGGGGACGAAGATTTCCCACTAAATCGGGGATGAGGACGGGACGGAGATCCCCGTTTGTCTCAAATCGGGGATGGAGACGGGTATGGTACTCCCCGTCCCGTACCCGTTATATATATATATATATATTAAGGGGCCTAATCAAATGAGATCCAATCTCAATCACAAAATCAATAAATAAATTAGAAAATTTATAATTTTGGTAATTTTGAATTAAAATTTTAATGCAATGACATTTTAGGTATTTTAAAACTCTCCTATCTCACCGGAGGACGGTGGCTGGAGGCCGGAGGACGGAGAGAGGAAAAAAATACCTAAAATGTCCTTACATTAAAATTTTAATTCATATTATGTATATTATTTATATTATTTATACATATTATATATATATTATTTATACATATTATATTTATACATATATGTATATTATTTATATATATATATATATATATAATTTTTTTTTGTTGACTTATTGAGAAATTAAGACGTTAATGAGATGTTATGGTATGAAATGTGTAGGCACTTGGTCAAGAGTTATCGGTAGTCAATCTATACGTAATCAGGGACAGAAGGTTTCAGGTTGGACAAAGAAAAAGAAAGACATACATAGAGACTTGTCCAGTCTATTTAAGTTCAATATTTAGGTACAATCATCTATGGTATATAAATTTGTAAAGCAACCCGGTATGGGACGGGTTGACATTAAGTTATATATTTATTCTTTTAAAGTCTTCCGCTGTAAACGGGCTAAAATTTTAATTTAGCCATTATTTTTGGAGTGCTTTTGGAGAATTTGTTTTAGATTACGTAACATTTCTTGTATTGGGACTCTCACCTACCTCTTGTAGAATTCGCCTACAACAATAGTACCACTCTAGTATAGGGATGGCACATTTCGAGGCCTTGTACGGGCAAAAATGTAGGACTCCGGTTTGTTGGTTAGAAGCGGGTGAGAAACAATTCTCCGGCCCTGAAATCGTGCAAGAAACGACCGACAAGGTGAAGTGTATTCGGGAGCGCTTAAAGGCGGCTCAGGATCGACAAAAGAGTTACGCAGACAAGAGAAGTCGACCTATGGAATTCTAAGTGGGCGACCGTGTAATGCTAAAGGTGTCCCCTTGGAAATGTATTATCTGTTTTGGAAAGCGAGTGAAGTTAAGCCCCTGTTTCCTTTGACCGTTTAAGGTTTTAGCTAGGGTGGGACTTCAAGCTTATAAACTATAACTACCATCCGAAATGGCCAGGATCCATAACACATTTCATGTGTGTTACTTTCGCAAGTGTTTGGCGGAAGAAGAAAGTGTGATACCATTTACGGAAATTCGTGTGGACGAGGAAAACCGATGTGTTGAAGAACCGGAAGCCATCTTGGAAAGAAAGACCAAAGTGCTCAGGCACAAAGAGGTTGTTTTGGTCAAAGTTCAATTGAAGCATCATTGAGGGTCAAACGTAACATGGGAAACAGAAGAAGACTTGAAGAGACGTTACCCCCCACCTTTTCTCTTTAATTTAAATTTCGAGGACGAAATTTATCCCAAGGAGGGGAGGATTGTAACATCTAGAAATTTAAAGACCCTACTATTTGTATATTTTGGTCTTCCTTTGGTAAAATAAAAAGAAAAGGGGTAACTCAGCTATTATCTTTTATCTTACCATGTAGACTTTCCATACCATGATAAAAAAAAAGGGGGGGGGGGGTGGTAATCCTCTTACCTTTAAGTCCTTAGCTTTAGTTTAATAAAGAAAAAGGAGTCCTTAGCTTTAGTTTAATAAAGAAATAGGAGGAAGGAAAGTGAAAAGAAATGGGGGAGGTGGAAGACAGAAAATAGCATCTATGGATTTTTGAAAGGAGGGTTTGGCCTCAAAGAAAATGACCCTTGGGAGGGATCTTGCAACTGTCGGTGTTGACCCATAGCGCCGTCCAAAACCCACCTGCACCTCTAGCCGTGTCCGCCTACGTTCTAGTATAAAACGTAATTTTTAAGTGTATTTGATTGAAAACTAATTATAAAACTACAATAAAACGTATTTTTAAGTGTAACTGGTTATATTTTAAAATATATTAGAATAATATTAAAGTATTTTTAAAATTTTCTCAAAAAATAAATTTAAATATATATATATATATATATAAAGAAAATGTTTTTTTTAATATAGGATCAGTTTGGGTCCGGCCCGGGACCGGGATGGGGACTAGTTACCATAACCAGTTACAAGTACCTTAATCGGACCTCAGTATTTTCGACGGGACCGGGACCGGTTATGAGCATCACTCTGTCAACCCGGGATCGGATTTTGGCCATCACTACTATTAAGTATAAGGGACTAAAATAAAAATGAGATGTAAACCATAGGAAAGAAAAAAGCAATAAAGTTTAAATTATAGAGACGAAACGATAGTGGATTACAAACTTTGGGATAAAAATCGTAATTTCAAAATCATATGTACGAAAATAGAATTTTTTACAAAGTACAGGGACTAAAAACGTAATTTATATAAAAATCGTAATAGGTGCAATCAGTAAAAACTAGTTACACCATGGTTTGGTCAAGGCTAATTGGGGTCCGTTTCGGACCGAATCGGTAATCTTTTTGCTGCTCTCTTGGAAATAATCCAATTGTTTTTAATTTTAAAATGATTTTTATATATAATATTAATATATATTATATTACAAAATATTTGAAAAAAAAAACTATTTTTATGTATTAAATACTTATGCATATTATTTAAAATTTAATATTATAATTAAATTAT